TTAGCCTCCCCTGTGATGGGATTACAGGTGTGCACCACCTTGCCCAGACTAGGTCCCTGGCTCAGCATGCCTGGGGCCAGGGCTGGCACGACATGTGGTGCCGGGAATTGAACCTCAGTCCCTGCACTTGCCTAAGCAGGTGATTAGTCTGCTGAGTTATCTCACCAGCCCTATATAATTTTAATTTTAGTACATACAATAAGATAACATGAGCAAAGATCAACATGCTTTTGGAAACCCTCAATATTTATGTTTAATTTTAAATCACTGTTATTTATTTCCTCCATATGAAGCTGGGCCATGATACCCAGGCCTTTTCTTTTAAAGATGTGGTTTTACACTAGAAAGCAGTACTTAGATACCCTTGAAAGCATCTCCCAGTGGTCATAGATATGTATAACAAAGGAAAGACGTACATCAGGAACCCTTGGTTTTTCAATGATGTCATTAGTGAGAGAAAATCTGTCTAAGCTACACAACAAGAGGCACAGGCTAAGAAGAGCCCTGAGTAGGGACACTAGGCTGTCTGACTCAGGTGTTACAGAAGTCGTTCATTCAGCTTGAAAATTGGCAATAAATTTCTGCACTCTTTTTTAAACCATTCTTAGAGAATTTGGTAGCTTGCCCAGACAGGGCTTATTATTTTCCAAATATATATGCAAATGACATCATTCTAACTTCCTTTGCCCATATTAAGGTTCTTTATACACTACAGATGGCATTCTGCCCAATCCAAAGTCAAACTTTAAAGACTCACCGATGAAATTCTATATTTCATCTTTTAATAACTGTGTCCAATGTATTTCTTTCTTTCTAATACTGTCTGGTACTATAAAGCCAATATGTAAATAATTTGTGACAAATTCTATGTGCATTCTTCCTCCCTGTTTAAGGAGAAAAAAGATACTTTATGACAAATATGTAAGGTACTCTATAAATTATTGTCATATGAAACTCTAGATATTGTTTCCCTTTTTATAAATGTTTAATGACAATCATTTATAAAGCCACTGAATTTACAGTTGCCTTGTGCATGCCAGGGATATAGCTCAGTGGCATAAACACCTGCCTGGCAAGTGCAAGGTCCTGAGTTCAATCCCTGGAACCATGAAAAGAAAAAAAAAAGTTAATGGCAGCAATTAAAAAAATTTTTTTCTCAACTTTTGAGGGGCCTGCTAGTTAGCTCAGTTGCTTAAGCACCTGCCTATGCAAACGCAGTCAGGAGCAGGATACCACAGTTTGATCCCCAGCTCCACATGCCTTAACAGACCCTCCCTTAAGGCAACCTGAGCCAGCCAAAAAAAAAATCCTTTACAGTTGACTTGCAACAACTGCTTCTCTATAACAACTTTTCCATATGTATTTTGCATTTGTAATAGTGAATGATGAAGAATTCACAATTTGCACCCTTGATCAAATCCAAATTATCAATTCCACCATCAAATAAAACATTTTTCTTCTTCTCTATACCACAAAATATACTAAATTAATAGAAATAATATTTCTCATAAAGAAATATTTGTTATAAGAATATATTTATGCAGTGCCCACACAAAGTGAAGAGTGACTTAAATAGATATGAAAACTATTATTTTGAATTGTCAAAAAAGAATTTGGCTTTAGAAAAAAATGAAATGTGCTTTTCATTCAGTGGGCTTGGCTGGAGGGACTGACGGAAGTGGGTAGGGTAGAACTAGTATTTACAATATGCGGCCATAAAATCAGCCTTCTGACAATGCATATCAATACCTACTAAGTCCCAGGCTTTGCATTTTCATTTCTAGGTCAGAAAGACCTCCGGTTGTTAGGTAAAATAGTCAAGTATCTTACAGACAGAAAAATCCTTGGGATTTCCAGAGTGTCTCAAGAGTCAAAGACAAGTCTATAACAACAGCAGGTTTTTATCATAGCAAGAGCTGTTATTTGTCAAAATATGATCTTTTCTGTTCTGCAGGGGGCTGCCTGGTGCTCAGCCAGCCTGAGGCTGACAGGTCCTGTGACCCGCCATGTAGCCAGCCCCACTCCTACTGCAGTGAGGTAGGTGTGAGTCCACTGAGGTGGGCACGGCCTGCATTATTTATCACCCTGCTGTCCCTGATGCTGTTCACTTCTTCCCCCAAGACACATTTTGAGAAGATAAAATTTCCATATTTGACAGTAGAACCAACTGAAAATGCATTTATCTTTAAAATGCCTGCATAATACAAAAGATAAGTTCATATTTCTTTAAATGTCATTAAAACAGAAATTACAGGTGGTGAATTAGAAGGAAAAAAAACTTCTCTGAAGCTTTCATTCTTAAGTAGGGTCAGTCATACTTAGAAAGCTCGCCTTCCACGCTTGGCGTTGATCTTCACGTTCTCCTGCAGACCAAGACTTGCCGCTGCGAGGAAGGGTACACTGAAGTCATGTCCTCCAACAGCACGCTGGAGCAGTGCACACTGATCCCCGTGGTGGTGATGCCCACAGTGGAAGACAAGAGGGGGGACGTGAAAACCAGCCGTGCGATACACCCAACCCAGCCCTCCGTGAATCCAGCAGGCAGGGAGCGAAGCTGGTTTCTGCAGCCGTTTGGGCCAGGTGAGATGAGCTGAGGCACAGATGTAGAGCTCTGTAGTCGTGTCCTCAGCCAGGGCCACCAGGATTGTTTGAAGATGAGCAAGCATTTTTACACAGCTTCTCATTATTCCATTCATACTCATTTATTCCGACATGGCCATCTACTCTTTCTCATTTCTTATTATCATGTACGAGTACCCACGCTCTTAGTTCAGAGAAATAAAAAATTACTTCTCGGCAGTTTTTGAAATTGATATTCTTTATTTTAATCCCTGTCCTAAAGTTATAGGTATACTTAAGTGAACTCTGAATAAACAAGTGCACTAACAAAAGTATAAATTGGAAAAGAAAAGTATGTTCTTATTCACAACTGGGACAAAAAAGACTGAAAAGACATTCTAGAATTTTCAGTTTGATCACAGTGAGGTAACAACTGGAACCTTAACTAGAAATTCAGTGCTGCAGTTCTATGACAAGGACATTTGACGTGTTGTGTTTGATTGCATACATTAGAAAAGTTAGGGACAAATTATTTAAAAATCTTTGAGCAAGCTATTGAAAGTGTTTTTTTCAAATCATATATTTTCAAACCAATCTTATGGGACCATATATGTATAGAATCAATACAAGATTATTAATTACAAAGTAAATCCGTTAATTTTATTCACTTGGTTTTCATGTAGAACAAAAATGTTAAAATGACAGCTCTCAAATACTGTTCTGCATCCACTCTGAATTGTAGAACTTCATTTGAACTTCTTTAATTTTTTATTCTCAAAATAAATGCGACATCTTGTATTTAAGTAGCGTTACACATACATTAAACTGAGGGAAAATCAGCCAAGAAGCAGCGTAAAGTTAGACATAAACTCAATATCTAAACATCAACAGTACTTTTTGCTTTTTAGTGCGATCTTCATAATAGTAAATTTGTGGTAATCAGTAAGTTACTCAAGAAAAAATGTACTTTGAATTTTGCAGATGTATGGGTCATATGTGGCTGGTCATTGGTCATAGTTAAAGACTGTCATATATATTCCAGAGTAATGGGAATTAATAGCTAGTATCCATTCTTCTTAGATGGAAGACTAAAGACCTGGGTTTATGGTGTCGCAGCTGGGGCATTTGTGTTACTCGTCTTTATTGTCTCCATGATTTATCTAGCTTGGTGAGTGTTTACATATTTTAAAATCTAATGGGAAATAAAGTGTCTGTATTTCAAAGAAAATGCTTTCAGTTACAGAAACATAGAAACAACAAACCTGAAATCAGAATTAAGTACGCTACACCTATTCAGAATTCACATGAAGTTCTAAATAAATAAAGCTTTAGTCTTAGATGGCCAAAAATCACAAACTCTGAGCTGTTTCCTTCCTGGAGATGAGCCAGATATTCCAGGTCATCTTTTCAGGTTTCTCCCTTCCGCACATGCCGAAGAATGTCGTTCTCTATGGACTGTGGTGAACTGAGCCTTTCTATGGTGAATTGCTTCTGGAGGAGGAGATTATAATAATGTATAATCTTATGCAACTTGTAAGGATATTATCACTTATAAATTCTGTGTCATTTATCAAGGTTTCTAGCCAAATACAAATTATTATACTATAGTGTCATTTTTGCTGTCAATATTAGAGAAATTGTACTTGAATATATTCTCTTTTATAAGACAGGAAGATACTTGAAGTTTGTTTAAAAATTTTTTTTCAGAGCCCAAACTGGTAAATTCAGAGACCAAAAAATAAAATAAAATAAAATAAAATTCTAAGATTAAATTCAGGCAATGTGAGCAATAGAGAGCCATCAATTGTTTTTGCATCTTTTACCTTTTTATTTAAAATAATAAAATTGGCACTAGAGATTGATTGTTTACTCTCAATTTTAATAAATCTCTTACAGCAAAAAGCCAAAGAAACCCCAAAGAAGGCAAAACAACCGACTAAAACCTTTAACACTAGCTTATGATGGAGACGCAGACATGTAACGTGTAATTTGTCCTGGCAACAACCAATTTTGGCTTTCTGCCTCTCTGCTTGGCCAGCAGAGAGAACAATGGCAGTGTCCAAACTGTGGATCATAATGCATTTTAACTTTTTAAAAGGGCATCAGAAAGAAAGGAATGCGAGTCACATTGCCACTGGAAATCTCAAGACAGAACTATTGATTGGCACATGGACCATCCACTCTAAGAATTCTGGAAGATGTAGTTAAATACGTGGTGCGTTTTGAGAGTTGTATGTCATCTTTCTTGAAATCTACCAGTTGAAAAACCACTTTCATCTGTCAAAACGAGTGGTGAAATTGGCCAGATGGGAATTCCTGACGCAGGACTGTTCGCAGTATTTAAAGCCACAGAACATTCTAGCATGAAGAGTTTATACCACAGCCTCTACAGTACACTAGTCAAATATACCAACATGTATACTCCACTGAATGGCCTTCATTATAATTTCATATTATGTGCTTGATAATAAGCAACCTTAACGGTAGAGGTCAGCTCCAAACTGAGCAGAAACCCCGTGGAATAAAGTCAGCACCCTTATGGTGCTTGGTGCCACTTATTGACTTGCATTTGAGAGACAAAGACTCTTTTTTTTTAAGACTTCATTCTTGTTGCTCCACAGTGTACAAATGCTGAACCTGTCCTAGTACCTTAGAAGAAAGAGTCCTCCACTTCCGTATTTTATAGTGGTTATCCTGGAAAACTGATTTGCTTATGTTGTTACATTTCTACTTTCCCTAATTTTCAACCTGGTTTCCTGTATCTTTTTTGCTACCTGGAAGGCACATTCTTGCACTATATTAGTGCAGCATGATGGGTACCTAACCAGTATTGCCGTAGAAACCGCTTTCTCTTTTCATACGGGATGGAGACATCTGTGCCCGGAGTGGCCTGGAGACATTTGCGATTTCTGGTACCCTGAAGAGTGTAAAGTTCAGCGTGAGTGGTGACAGGGTGGAATGGGTCTTGCACCTGCTGTGTGCACCCTGCCTGCTCGCTGCAGCCTCTGCAGACCTGGCAACACGGCTGTAACCCCAATGTTGAGCTCCCCGGCACAGGAGCCCTCAAAAGGCAGATCCTGCTAGTTGGTTTGTAATTGCTCTTTGAAGACTGTTTATGACTAGATTTTTATATTTGTTATCTTTGTTAAAAAAAAAAAGAAATGAAAAGAAAAAAAGGAACTGGTTGTCTTTTTAATGCCAAGCAGATGGAAAAATAATGTATCGATGATTTTTGTAATGAAAAGAAGTCAAAATCATGTGTCCATTCTTCTTTCTCCCTGATTCATTTTCTCAGCTTAAGATACGAAGTCTGTCCTACAAGCACTATCTCTAAACCCCATTGTCTTTTGTCTCTGTCACTGATTTATTTTGAATCAGTCTTTTAAATATATGATTTCAAAAACTAAAATTTGAAAGAGGGAAGAATGAGCTTCTTGTCTGGGACTTCATTAAGTATCTACATCAAGAGTGGCAAACATTTTCTCTTAAGACTTGAATAGTAAATATCTCCAGCTTGGTCT